TAGGACCTTTGAAGGCTCTGGCCTAGCTGTCAGAGATGATGCTTCTCCTTTTCAGGAGGCAAATGGGGAGCTCTTGAGGGAACAGGACAAATGATGCTTTGGGGGTTTCCTGAGGCAGCTTCCAACAAGTAGAAGAAGTGAGCATGACATTTTCTCCTTAGCACATCATTTCCTTCCTGCTTTACATGCAGTTAGGCCAAACTAGGTGAGCAACAGCTCTTGGGGGGACCACACCCGCCCCTTGCTTACTTCTGTGTGCTGTCTCTACGGGAAAAAGAGATAATGAAATTTAGCTTAACCAAGCTGTGGGTTGGAAGTTATAACCTACCTAATTCCTTAATTAAGCTATCAATTAAGGCTGTGTCTATGCCACCTGCTATGCCTGGGCCTTGTGCCATGTGGAAGTGCCAGCTCTGATAAGCCTGTCCCCATAGAACCCAGGGCTCAGTCAATCTACAGTTATGGCTCTCCTACCTTCCCCATGACTTTCTCTTAAGGGGTTTTTAAACGATCCACTTGGAGACAAGTGTCCCCACTCATTTTCCATGCACAGAGAATTACAGAATGTCCAAGACAACCAGCAGATTTAGCTGGGCCTTTTGAGGGTTATACCTTCCCCAAGGAGACCATTTGTGTTGGCCATCTGCACAGGGGCCAGCAACCTTTCTTGCTGTCAAGGCCCCCAGTTCAACCCCATGGAACAGCCTTAGGTAGAGAGCTCAAAGGGAAAGGAAAAAAAAATGGTGCAGAAGACAGAAGTATGAAAAGAAAGATCCGTTGCAAATTTCTCTCTCTAATCAAGGTGAGTGTTCAGTAGCATTTAATGTTGAATGAATACATGAGGGAAAACAAAGAAATGCAGGAAGGAAAAAGTGATGAACCTGGATGTCCCCCCAAATACCTTAGTTGCTTAAGGTTCTTGTTCTAAGTATGCTGACACATCTGCAGCGTTTGCCCCTGAGATGGGGAAGAGCAGCTCATTCTGAGGGATTGTAGCCAGCTCCTCAGCTGCAGAGAGGCCTCCTTCAGGGCATAGAGACTCCAATATCATACAAAGACGGCTTTCCTGGGATCTTCAGCTCTACATGCACCTAATCTGTCAGGCTGTTGGTAGACCCAGGACCTATGCATTACCCTGCTGTGAGCAAGTGGGGGCAGTGAATTATGTAGGAGATGTGTCATTGGTTATGCCAAAGAGCCTCCTAAAGAAGTGGCATTCCAGAGGGAAGACTGGACCTCCAACCTTGCTCTGCTCTTCACCCTGGGCAATGTCTATCTCAAGAGTTAAAATGCATCCCCATTTTCCAATGAGGATGATGCCAAAGGTCACTGAAAGTTGAACCACTGACCAACAGTGGCTCTGCTGTACACTGGCTAAATGAAAAATGAGGGGAAGCCATCCTTCCCTGCCGAGGAAGTACCAAAAGTCTATGTTTTAGTCGGAAGGTAAGCAAGCATCATACATGATCAGCTTGGATGTTTTTCTAGGTTATCGGAAGGAAAGAATGAGCGCCCTGCATTTCCTTCTTGCTTCCCTTTCTTTCTCCCTTCAGTGAGCACGCACTGAGCATTTGCTTTGTGTCAGGCAGTTTCTCAGCACTGGAGCACAGTAGTGTGGGAACGGGAAAGCCCCAGGCTCTCCAGTGCACCATCCCAGGCAGGAAGCACACAAGGCAGAGCCCTTGGGGACTGTCAGAATCAGAGGGCTGCAGAATAACCAAAGCCTGGGGGAGGGAAGGAAGGAGCTGGGTGAACTCTCCTGGAAGACCACCCTGTGAAGTCTCCTTGGGGAATAGCCTGGAAGGAGCTGAGCAGCAAGCCCTGTAGATACTCAGAGAAGACTCTCTAGGGCAGAAGGAAGGAAAATGCACCCATTCTGAGGCAGGAGGGCAACACCAGCCAGGCTGAGCCAAGACTGCAAGGGGCCGGAAGTGGGCAGGGGCAGGTGGGACACAGGAGCCAAACTCCAGCATCTGGGGTCAGTTACATGCATGACCACTGCCAGTGTACCATGGCCCTGGCACATGCAGACCTCTTATTGTACCCACCTCCCTGTGAGTGGCACTTGGGGTACCTGGTACAGAAACTGTACCAGGATCATGAATTTGCTAGAACTTGGCTTTAATGTAAGAGAAATGGGAGGCTTTTGAGCAAAGCAACAGAGTGATTTCTCTCACAATCCCCCTGCTACTGGATGAAAAGACGTGGGGGTGAGGAGGTCAGTGGCAGCAGGAGAGGCATCTGGGGTTCTTGGCTGTTAACAGAGGAGCATCAGTGGTGGCTCAGACAGGCCCCTAGCAGTGAAGGGGCAAAGAACTGAAATCTGAATATATTTTGAAGACAGAATTAAAACATGTTGTCCTTGGATGGAGTGGAGTGAGAGAAGAGGCAGGAATGACTCGGGATTTTTGTTTTTTGCAGGTCTACTCTGTCAAATAATCTGAAGGGTGTTAACCACAGAAAATCTAAGTCTTTTTTTTTAAGTACGTTTTTCTAGCACAACTTGTAGCCAGTTGCCCGTGTGACTGCTGAAACAGTGCGCTGTGCCCTGGCACACGCAGACATCTTATTGTACCCACCTCCCATGAGTGGCACTTGGGGTACCTGGTGCAGAAATTGTTCTATAGATATTGTTCCATCAGAAGGGAGTCGGGAGGCTCTAAGCAGTATTCAAAAGCCTCCTGTGAAGGAAACCAGTTACCTGGGATGTTTGCTGATTAGGTAAACCCATTCTGGGGCCTAGCTTGAGTGAACCAGGGAAGGACAGCAGGGTTGCTCTAGTTGGTGCCCTGAAGCTCCCTCGTGCAACTTGGAGTCTTCTTTCAATGGATTTAAGTTTCTCTTGTCTTTCCATAAATGCCATCTTAGCCCTAGGTGCCAGGCAGGTGCCAAAACGCAGAGCACTAACAGCTGGAGATCTTAGTCACTGCCACTCAACTCTGGGAACCTGAATCCCACCAGAAGCAGCGCCCTGCACTGTACAGGGTGGTCTGCTTAGGGTCCAGGCGTCACCATTTGGCAGCAGATCCCGGCTGATAAAGCCCAGCTAACCCTGGGGGATTTTCCGCTTTGCGGCCAGCATTACTGACCTCCTTCTGACAGTCTGGGCAGATCCCATGAGCCCAGACCTCAGGCGACCATTTTTTAGCACTTGACTGGTAGAATGTAGATTAGAGAATATTTCAAGTGTTATGTAAAAATAAATGAAGTCTGGGGTTTAGCTCAGTGGTAGAGCTTACCTGATACACTTGAGGCCCCAGATTCTGTCGATAGCCCTATGAAATACAGTAAAAAGAAAAAAAAAAGAGAAGTGACAAAGAATCAGATAAATTTGGGAAACACCTCAGTAAAGGGAAGCATTTTTTTTTTGGAAACAGGATTTCTCAGAATCTATAATATGCCACCAATAGCAGCCTGCATGTCCAAAAAAAAAAAAAAATGTATCCTCTTTCATGTCTTGTTTGACATAAGACCCATTTTCCTGTAATCATCTTGGGTAAAGAGTATTCTGGTGACCTCCTCAGGAATATGCTGTCCTAGACCAGAGCTGCTCAAAATGTGACCTTGGAGTGGGGCCATTTGGAAGAAGACTTCTCACCCATCAATAATGAGGTAAGGACAGAAATGAACAGCAAGCTTTCAGATATCTTTATAGCAATTTGAGTAATTTCTATATCTTGAACCTAATCATAAAATAGTGGGGCTTGTGTTCCTTTGTTTTATTAACTTCACTTTCCTAGAAATAAATTTTTAGAGTACTTTACCAAAAACAAACCAAAAAACCATCCATCTGTAGCTCACTGAAGATTGAAAAACTGGTCTTTTCCCTCCCACTTGAGAAAGCCTCCACCAACACCAAGCCACCAACCAGCTCTTGCTAACAGGACCAGAGCACAAAGATTAGCCCAATTGCCCGGCCACCCGGCTTCTGGTAGCCCTAATCCTACGTGGAGCCTCCTTGCCTTAGGTCGCATCTTCATCCGCCTGTGATTTTTGCACATGAGTGTGGATTCTCAGAACCCTGGTTCCCCGCAGTGGGCCATCCACTCTTAGATGCATAATGAGGATTGAAGCATCAGGAGCCCTTGTCTGGAGAGGGATTCCCGGGAAGAAAGACAGCCTCAAGTGATCGGTGTTGGTTTCATGTGCAGCTCTGCTCACGTGCTTGCCCCTCCCACCACGGGTGCATGGCTGACAGCCTCTGAAAACTTCAGGAAATATGACAGGCTTTCAGTAATGCAGGCTGCCCACAAAAGAGCAGAGCCCGGGAGGAGTTAAGCACTTGGGTTCCACAATGCTTGGCTTTTGTTCTCCCTAATCAAGCTGGTCATGTGGCTTTTATTTTTTTTCCCCTTTTCCTAAGAGTTCTCCAATGGAGGACTTCAGTCTTTTAAAAACAGTAATTTCTGTAACAATGGTAATTACTTTAACTGGAGTTCTTTAAAGGTAGATCCTTCTCGCCCACCTCCTCTGCAGCTGTAAAGCATGTTCTGATATATTGCATTACTCCAAATCAGAGGGGTATTGTTCTTCCTTATAGCTATTAATGGGAAATGGAGTGGGGGATTAAAAAAAAACTTCCCAAACTTGCTATTTTTCAGTATAGAATAATTGCAAATAATTTCTCTTTGTTTCTAGGTAATAGCAGACAATCAGTTTTATAAATGCTCATTGCATATGGGATTGGCCCACCATGAAGCTCCTTCACACGGCATTAGGACTCTCAGAGTCCCCTCCTGGCTCCATTTTGTCCCATTAGCCTCCAGAATCTATTCGGTGTTCTCATTTATGGGGAGCTTGTGCTGTTGTTAAATGAAAGTAGTTGGCCCTGCACAGGGCCTTGTGCCCTACATAGCCCCATTCTTCAGAATATTGTTGGAGCTGCTACACTGTAAGTAGGCAAAATACTGTAACCATGTGTCTGTACCTAGAAAGTAAGGGATGAGGAGCCACCATGGGAGGAAACAGAGTGGGTGGGAGAAGTTGGAGGGTGGCAGTGGACGACATCTTCCTCATCGCGGCACGTTCTTCTGTTGTGTGACATGGAGCCAGAAATGGCACGCTCTCTAGTTCTTTGGTTTCTATGTATGTCAAGTTTGACTCCTGGCTACAGTTGGGCAAAGCTGTGTGAAATGTCCCCATCAAGTACATGTAGAAAAGGGAAACCAGGAACTCTTGACCTTTGCCTGTCAAAATCCTTGAAGAACAAAAATGAGTCATTTACATTCTGTGTTCTTATGCTTTTTGTGGTTTACTGCCCTTGCTTTGCCCTTTGTCCATATTTTAGGAAGATTAAAAGAAATTTTCCCCTCCAATTTTCTATCATCCTATTTATCCATCCATCCCATGTTTATATATCCATCCATCCATCCATCTTATGTTTCTGTCTCTATCATCTATTTAGCATTTTATCTAACCATCATCAGTCTACCTATTCATTATCTGTCCATCCATCCACTCTATACTTATATCTCCATCCATACATTTGTCCTTCCTGTACCTCAGTCTGTTACCTGTCTATTCATCCATCTATCATCTATTTACCTACCCATCATCTACTATCCATCTATCCATCTCCCTACCCATCATCTGTTTATCTATCATCTATTGACCTAACCATCATCTGTCTGTCTGTCAGCCTATCTGTCTATCTGGAATCTATCTGTCCATCAACTGTTCACCTGTACATCATCACTCTTGTCTATCTCTGTCATTCATCACTAGCCTGTGTAGCTGGACCTCGATGGTCTGCACCTGCCAGTGAAACCATGCCTTCCCACAAATTCCCCATCTACCTGTCAATTGTATGAGCTGTTCATCTTGGGTCCCCTCTCCGCCTAGGCTTTCAGCCTTCCTGAACTGTGTGGGGTCTGAGTTTAAAGTTTGGGGGTCTGGGTTCTGTTAAGCAGGTGTGTCATGGAACTGTGCAGCCATCCTTGCCCTCAGGCTGCTGCCCCTTTTGCATTGCATTTCAAATATGAGACAGGCTTCCCTTAAAGTCTTACACCATGACAGAAGCCATACTGTCCTGAAGAGCCAGAGACCAAAAAGGAGAAGAGGCACAGCATAGATAACTCATAAGCTGACTAGATGTGGCTACTTTAGAGTTTCCTGGTGAGTCTGCCTTGGGGCTCTCTCATCCAGGCACCCCAACTGGCTTCCAGGTGGTCTTCATGGGAAGAAGGAGCTCTCTTCCTCCCCTGGGGGGCTTTGTGTATAGCCCCCACATGGGCCTAGCCCAGCTACCACCCGGGCCCAGCTCTCTAATCCTCATTTCCTATCTCAAGACCAGTCTTTCCCCAGGATGACTGACACAGAGTGTCTACTATGTTCTACAGGGACCACCCTCAGACTTCTCGATTGCTTTTTGGTCCATCAGACAAGAACAGCCCATCAGAACACAGCAGTCCAGTGTCAGCATTCACTGAGACACAGCCTAGGGCAACAGCCTTTCCGTGCGCGGAGATACAATGCACCCCACCAGGTTCCTGGTTCTGGACTTTCCTCAGCCTGAGAGGAAGATGGTGCCTTCTGGTGGGTTCTCTAGCCCAGACCTGGCCTCCTGCAGATACAGCAAAGGTCAGCTGCTGCCACTGCAAACACATTCCCTTCGATTTTTTAGAGATCTGAACAAATGTTTTTATAGGCTGTTAGGGGCCAAATTGTGTCCCCCTGAAATCTATATGTTGGAGTCCTAACCCCCACTGGGACTGAATTTGGATTTGGGTGTTTAAAGTGATAACTGGGTGCAGTGATCCCAGCTACTTGGGGGCTGAGGCAGCAGATAACAGGTGAGAGTCCAGCCGGGGCAACCTAGCAAGACCCTGTCTCTAAATAAAAAAATAAATAGCTAAAGTTTAACCAGGTCACAGGGTGGGGCTCTAATCCAATAGGATTAGTGTCCTTCTAAGGAGAGGAAACCCCAGAGATCTCAGTCTGTCCACATGTGCAGAGCAGAGGCACATGTGGACAAGTAAGCAGGCACTGTGTACGAGTCAGGAGGAGAGGCCCCCCCCCACCCCCGCCAAGAAACGAACCCTGCTTGGGCCCTTGACTTGGGCCCTGCAGCCTCCAAGATTGTGAGAAAATGAACGTCTGTGTTTAAGCCACCTATCTGTGGCCTTCATTGTGCCTGCTCCAGCAGAATCAGACACAGTCACTCTCTTGGACTCATCATCTGACCAGCTAGCCTCGACAGTGCCTGTGCGTGGTTTTTACCTGGGATTCCTCTTTATTTTCACATCTTTTGCCATGGGACAGGTTGAGAATTCCACAAATCAGCTGCCCTTCACTGAATGGTCCTTCTTTTAGCTTATCTTTCTCTTTTTGTATTTTATTAGAAGCAGTGAGAAGGAATTAGATGCCCCTTCAACACCAACTGCACACCTCCTTAGCTAGGTCACCCAAGGTGGAGGTACAGTTTCCACTTTCCTCATTATTTTAGGCGATGGTGCTGGTGAACTTGTGCCTGTACTCTATGACAGTTCCTAATCACTTGGGGCCTCCTCAAGGACATGCATGCTCCATATAAGCACTTTTCCATTTCTCTGCAAGTTTGCATTAACACTTTTTCCAAAGTTCTTCCAGTTCCGTTCAAATACCAGGTTCCATGGCCATGCCTGTCCTCTCAGGTTTCCATTACAGCAGCACCCTATATAAACTACCCCAACAAATTATCCCCGGCCATGGCTACTTTAAGCAACAGTAAACATTTATTATCTTGCACAGTTTGGGTAGCACTGAATCTAAAGCTGTGTAGCTGGTTGCTTCTGGCCCCACATCCCTCTGGAGGTTGCAGTCAGGACCTTGACTAAGGCTGTGTCACTGGGAGGTTCCACTGGGCTGGAAGATCTGTCTCTGTGATTGCAGAGTTAGAAAGGCTGCAATCACTGGTGGAAGGACCTGGGGACCTCATCTTGAATGTCCTCAATAGTAGTTGGCTGCCCCCAGAGCAAGTGACCCAAGAGAGAACAAGGTCAACCATGAGTCTTATAAGAACTAGTCTCAGCATCATGCTGTAATTTCCAAGCTTCCTATTGGTTACCCAGGCCAGTCCTCTTCAGTATGGGAGGAGACACACTAGGGAAGGGACCCATGAGCCCCGTGGGAGCCCAGAGTCTCCTGTGGGTCTGTCTCCCAAGGTTATACAGGAAGTAGGGACGTGGAAACCTTAATATCCCCAAACTTATCTGGGAACTTCCTCATCACAGGACAAGGTCCCCCTCTCAGGAAATCCCTGCCTGCAAACTCCCTGCCCTTCCAGCCTGCTTCATTTGAGTTCCTTCCTCTCTCTCCTTTTGGCAGGAGGGAGGCTGTGGATTAGTTTATTATACTCAGTCTTACATGCAGGTCACAGCTCTTAAACTGTGGCCAGAAATGGAAGGTGCTGGACCTTCAACAGAGAATGAATTTAAAAAATGTGGCATATATACACAATGGAATATTACTTCAGCCTTAAAGAAGAACAAAATTATGGCATTTGATGATAAATGGTTGAACCTGGAGAATATCATGCTAAGTGAAATAAGCCAGTCCCAAAGAACCAAAGGCCAAGTGTTTTCTCTGATATGCAGATGCTAATTCAGAATAAGGTGTGTGTGTGGGGGTGCTAAGGAAAAAATAGAGGTATTTTGGATTAGGCAGAGGGGAGTGAATGGAAGGGAGAGGTACAGGAGTAGGAAGGATAGTAGAGTGAATCAGACATTATTACCTTATGTACATATATGACTACACAACCAGTGTGATTCTACATCATACAACCAGAAGAATGAGCAGTTATACTCCATTTAGGTATGATGTGTCAAAATGCATTCTACTATCATGTGTAACTACTTAGAACAAATTTTAAAAAAAGAAAAAGAAAGAAGAAATGGAAGGTGCTGGAGGAGGAGAACCTCAGCCATGCACTGGGACTCTGGGAGTGCAGGAGCATTCGCTACTTCATGCTGTCATTCCAAGCGTCTTCATGCCACCTGTCACTCAAGGTGCCACTCCATTGCACTCCTTCAGAATCTCCTAGAGTAGATTACTGATGAGAAAATGGAAAGGTCATGTCATTCTCTTCAGGTCACATGGCTCATGGCAGAGCCAAGATTTGAAAGCCAGCCTTTCTCTGCAGCCATGACATTCCTAGCACATCAAGCAGCAGCTTATCTGTGGGTGGCTTCTCAGCATTGCAGAAAGAGTGAGCAGATCCCTGCTCCTGCCACTGCTGCTGTCCCTCTGTGCCATCACCACAGCCCGCTTGCCCCGTGGCCTGGACCACCTTTGTTCCTGATGGTTAATGGGACCTGGTTGGGAACCATCGTGACCCCTGCTGGAAACCAGCTTCCTGTCCCTATTCACAGGAACAGCAGCTCCTGCACCTCTGTCCCATCTCTAGCCTTAGCCAGAGGAGGGCCAGCAGAGTGTGGTTGCTCACCTGCTTCTGCTCCTGCCATCATAATGGAAAAATGGCAGCCTGCTTGTGTGTGACAGGTGAACTATGAGAGTTTTGCTCATGTTATAAGGAGCACTCGTGGACTATGCCATGGCTAGCTGGGTGTGACTTTTGGCAGGTGATTTAACGTCTTTGAGCCTTCACGTCCTCATCTATAAAATGGAAATAAGGATTATTTCTTGATATGGAAATTCCTGCAGGATTCCCATACTCCTGTGCCTTCCCCAAAAGAACAATGGGGCTCTCTCCAGTCTGTCATGGGGAAGTCTTCAGGCCATGCAGCTTGCCCAGTCCATTTGGCTAATTTGAATACAGATACAATCAGCAGTTTCCTAAAACATATCCCTGCAATTTCAGAGAAGTCTTCTTTATTATTGTTTTGTGAAAGGCCATTTTTCATTTGTTGTGTTTTTACCTGCGCTTCTTTACCAGAAGGTGAAGAAACACGTCAGGCCTCCTTCTGAGGATAATCGTCCAAAAGTCCAAGGCTCTTCAGTCTTCTTTCCCTTTGCCCCCAAATCATTTGTGACCCCTCACCCAGCACAGCAGTGGTATATAGTAAGTGCTCAGGAAACCAGACTGCCTCCTGATAGGTTCATTTCTCATCCTGCTTTACCTCTATGATACCCCTCTTCCAGCCACCTGCTACTGCAGTTGAAGCAGAAATTCGCTCTTGGTAACCTTGGCCTCCCTCTATCGGCTTCAAGGGTGCCCTGTTCTGCCCAGCCTTCTCTGAGTCCTGAAGTGTGTGTTTTTTTCTGCCCTGATGAACTGTTTGGGCACTCAATTAGAAAGGTGTGTGTACACATCCAAGTGTGATGAGGAAAATAAAACTCCCATTAAAATACCAGCTCAGCTCTGATTCTATTGTAAATTATGAATCTCACCCAGCCTTGCCGCCTGGACACTGTCCTGGGGAAGGGCTAAGTGGAGACCCTCTGTTTCCAGCGCCACATCAGAGTTCAGCAGGAGTGAGCCGTATCAATCCAGTCTGTCTCAGGGGATTCTTTGTCATTCTTTACAGTCCCCATTCAGGGAAAAGAATGTTTTAAAATTGAGAACAAATCTTTGGGGGGAGGCTGCAGGGAATGAGGACTCTTTGTAGCCAGCTCTCAACAGAGAAATCTGGTTTTCTGTGTCAGATGTCCCCAGTATGAAGCCTCCCCTGAACATCACTGAACACAGAGCCCTGATAAGCGCTACTTTCTGCCCAAAGCACTTTGTTCAGCAGCTGAGTGTGAGCTTGGGACTTGGACGCGATGTGTCTGTGTTCCCAGACAAGGTTGGCCATCTTTACCCTTCTAGGTTTTTGTTTGTTTGTTTTGGTACCAGGGATTGAACTCAGGGGCACTCAGCCACTGAGCCACACCTCCAGCCCTATTTTGCATTTTATTTAGAGACAGGGTCTCACTGAGTTGCTTCTGGCCTAAGTTGCTGAGGCTGGCTTTGAAATCATGATCCTCCTGCCTCAACCTCCTGAGCGGCTGGGATTACAGGCGTGCGCCAGTGTGCCTGGCTCATCTTCACCCTTCTTGAGGGAGTGTTCCTGGTCCCATGGGTCCCTCAGTGAGGCCACTGTGGTTTGCCAACTGATGCCCTTGACATTGAGTTTCAGCCTGGCTCCCCTGGGTGCCAGGTGGGCAGCTGCCCTCAGGCTCATGCTGTCAGGCCAGAGCAGTGTGTTCCTTCCTCTAAGAATCTGTTGCTCCACACAGATGTGGCGATGCCCCAGCAGCTTCTGGTGTTTATTTATTCATGTGTTCTCAGAGCCCTGCGTGGCTGCCAGAGGGTTTATGGCCTCTTAAAGTTTCGGAGCCTCTGCTTTTATGGCCACTTTTTGTTGAAGAGAAGGGCCATTTGGGGAAATGATGGACTCACCTTCTGGCTGGATGATGAATGAAAGATTAGCTTGCCTTTTCACATAAAGCCTTCATGCAAGCCGGGCCTGGGATTCTTAGTGCCACCAGCTTGCCTGGGCACAAGGACTGTGCGATCGTGATGCTGCCCATGGAACAGTTTGGTGCCAATTCTGTGCTGGCCTTGTGCTATTTCCATCATGCTAAGGCGAGTGGCTCAGAGGTTCCTCTGAGGACACCCAGTAGGGATGCCGTTTGGATGCAGAGGGATGTGTTCCCTCAGTCATAGCAGTGTTAAAGAGCATTAGATGCCTGATTGGGTGCTGTGCCAGCCGGCCTAATGGACCCCTGGGGTTAGGAATCAGATGTCTTAGTCAGCTTGGGCTGCTGTGTCAAAGTACCGTGGATTCAGTGTTTTAGACCCAAGAGACATTTATTTCCCACAGTTCTGGAGGCTGGAAGTCCAAGGCTAGAGTGTCAGCAGGTCGGGGTATAGAGAAGGTGCACTTTTTCCCAGGTGGTGGTCTGCTCATCCTGTCCTCAAACAGTGGAAGGACCCACCACAGGTCTCCTGAGCCCTATAGAAGAGCACTGATACCATTCATGAGGGCTCTGCTCTCGGGCCCTAATCACCTCCAAAGGGCCCACCCCTTGTACCATCCACTGCCCTGGGGTTAGTTTTCAACACATGAATTTGGAGGGACACAAACACCCTGTCTGCACACAGGTACTGTGGTCACCATCATTAAGAAAAGGGAGCTCAGGAGTGTGTGGTCCTGGCTTGGCTCAGTCCCATCTGTCATTTCCTGGGGCCCACAGATGCCGGGAACAAGAGCAAATGGGACATCAGGACTGCTTCAACACTAGTTGTCTGTGTCCCAGGCTGGGTGGACCCTATGACCCCACCCTCTCTCTGCAGTCACAGCCTGAAATAGGATTTCACCTGCTTCCAATCAGCTGCCCTGTGAGTGAGGGCTACATAGGGGAGCAACCAAGAATAGGGCTGGCTGTCAGGCAGTGGGGGAGCCACAGAGCCACCACTCCCCACTGTGTGACTTCAGGGTCATTTGTACCTGCTCCGAGTCTCAGTTGCTAATTGGGGCTAATAGGACAACCAGCCTACATACAAGCAAGGTAAAGTAGGTAAAGCACTCAGCACAGTGGAATTACCCACTCCACACCCCCAAATATCCATGCCCTAAGCCCTGGATACCTATAAAGGTATCATGCTTCATGGCAAATATAACGAAGGTTATGGACCTTAAAATAGAGAGATTACCTTGCATTATCAGGATGGGCCTAATGGAATTGGATGGGCCCCATCATGTACTGAATTGTGTCCCCCCAAAATAATTCATATGATAAAGCCCTATCCCTCATACTTCAGAATGCAACATGTTTGGAGATAAGGCCTTTAAAGAGGTAATTGAGTTTAAAATGAGGCTATTTGGGTGGGCCCTAATCCCAAATCTCTAATCTGACAGGTGTCATTATGAAAAGAAGAGATGGGGACACAGACACATGACCACGAGAGGACTCAGGAGAAGGCTGCCTTCTGCAAGCCAAGAGGAGAGGGCTCAACAGGCCAAGCCAGGACCACACACTCCTGAGCTCCCTTTTCCTAATGCTGAACCGATGCTGAACCTCGACTTCCAGCCTCCACGACTGAGAAAATGAACTTTTATGTCAGCCACCAAATCTGAACTGCTCTGTTACGGTAGCCCTAGCACGCTGGTACACCTATAGTTCCTTTTCCCATTGTGGTTTCAACTTAAAAAAGAAGCAAGCTGAGCTGGGCACGGTGATCCACACCTGTAATCCCAGTGGCTTGGGAGGCTGAGGCAGGAGGATGGTGAGTTCAAAGCCAGCCTCAGCAATTTAGTGAGGCCTAAGCAACTCAGTGAGACTTCGTCTCTAAATAAAATACAGGAAAGGGCTGGGGAGGTTGCTCAGTGGTTAAGCACCCCTGGATTTAATCTCAGTACCCCCCCGCAAAAAAAAGCTGGAAGTATTGAAATAACATTGCCTGCATCTATACATGAGCCTCTTGGTGCATGTAGTTCCTTGCTTTCTTTATCCTGAGTAACCTGTTGAAGGGAGGGGAATGTCACGAGCACCTGCTGCAGCTCTGAGGACCAGGTGAAACTCTGCCCCCTTAGAATCAGACCTCCCGCAGCCCCAGCAAGGCACACCTCTGCTCAGGCAACTTTACTCATCAGAAAGCAGACAGCCTTTGCTGGGGATCTCTGCTGACCCCAGGAAGATCTCTCCTTGCACCAAGAACAGGCTCCTGCCAGCTCAACTGGACCTTGCCTAAAGGGGGCTACCTTTATGCTGTGACCCTCTGCGGCTATGCTAGCCATCACAGCTCAGAACTCCAGGCACCTGGCCAGCACCAGAGCCCATATGGTGCCATTTCCCAAATGCCCATGCAAACCCTCCCTCTGCTTGTGGTTCTAGCATCTTAAGAACAACTGTGTTAGGCAGGGATTTCTAAAGAACTAGAGCCCAGAGGGGACGCGCGCGCGTGCGCGCGCACACACACACACACACACACACACACACACACACACACCATGGAGATTTGCATTGGGAATCAACTCCACGATTTGGGAGGATGGGAAGTTCCATAATTTCAGTCTGTAAGTTAATGACCCTGGAGAGCAGGTGGCATTATTCAGTCCAGTCTGAAGGCCTGAAAACCAGGGAGGCTGCAGTCCAAGGGCAGGAGAGATGGTGAGGTGTTCAGCTCAAGTGACGGGACAGGAAGAAAAGGACCAATCCCTCCTTCCTCTGAATTTTGTTCTATTCAAGTCCCCAGCTGATTTCAATGTCCCCCCCACATACCACTGACTTTACTCAGGGGATTTGACTGTAAAATCATCCACAAAACCCTCATGGATTGGGCTGGGGTTGTGGCTCAGTGGCATAGTGCTTGCCTAGCGTGTGTGACACTGGGTTCTATTCTCAGCACCACATATAAATAAACGAAATAAAGGTCCATTGACGGGCTGGGGAATGTGGCTCAAGCGCTAACGTGCTCGCCTGGTATGCGCAGGGCCCTGGGTTCGATCCTCAGCACCACATAAAATAAAATAAAGGTGTCCACTGAAAAATAAATGTTAAAAAATTTTCTCTCTCTCTCTCTCTCAAAAAAAATTATAAAAAAGGTCCGTTGATAACTAAAAAATATTTTTAAAAAACTTAAACAAAAAAACCTCATGGACATACCCAGAAATCATTATTAACCAAATAACCGGGCACTCCTTTGCCAGTCAGGTTGACACACAGAATTAGCCATCACACCCCACATTGTCCCCACATGTCAGATCCAGTGGAGGAAGCGGAAGGATCAGGTGCCCAAGGCAGCATGTGAGAAGAGAAGGGAGGGGTCCTGGGAGTGCTGGACGTGTCTTGTCCCCAGGGCACTGAGAAAGAGGAAATGTCACACCATTACAGCTGTGATCCTGCCCACTAGAATCTGGCCCTGTCAGTGCCAGTGACCGTGTACCCAGATGTACCCCTGCTACAGCATGGATGGGGCCCCAGTGAGAGTCCTGGGGATGGGCAAAGGGAGACCTGCAGCTGGCACTTCCTGGGGCAGGAGACACCATCAGCTTCCGTTGAAAAGCAGCCAATTAAGTGGGATTAACCAGAGAGCCAGCCCACCCCTCGCTGCAGTTATTATCATCAGAACCTAATATCTGTGTATGATTATGCCATGTAAATTCCAGGTCATTTCCTCCCCCTGCTTAAAGACTCTGAAATTAGTGCTGAAGAAGCCACTGGGAACAGATGATATTGAAGATTTCTTCAAAATTGCCCACTCAGGCCCCATTCCAATGGCTTCTGCTTCTACACAGCACCTTCTGGCCCACAGCTCTCCCAGGCTGATGAGGAGGGGCGGGTGGAGCTTCCATTGCCTGGTAAGGATGATGGTGGGGATGCATTTTCAGCTCCCTCCCAAGGTACAGGTTGCCTCGTTCTGGAATTTTCTTTTACATGACATCTAAAGGCCTCTCTCTCTCTCTCTCTCTCTCTCTCTCTCTCTCTCTCTCTTCCTCCCTCCCTCCCTCCCCACTCCCTCTTTCTTTCTTTCTTCCTTTCTTTCTTTCTTTCCCCCATTTAACCCATCAGTGACAAGAGTCTCTGGCCAAATGGGGGAAATCTCACTATCTCCTCTCCCCACCTGGTTGTCTATGGATTTGCCCTGTCCAGGTGAGGGATAGTTGAACTGGATGAAAATTCTTCTTTCACTTTACCTGCCTTCCTTGGAAAGCAGGTCACAAGTGGCAGGTCATTTAGGGTTGTGTTAAACTGCAAATAACTGGTATGTAAATGGCTGGGACACAAATGGGTTGATTTTTCTAACATAACCAGATGCTTAGAGGTTGCTATTTGCCATCTGTCGTGGGTGATGCTTACTCCAGTAGATGGTACATGTGTGTCTCTACAAAATTCCTATGTTGAAACCAACCCCCGACGTTGATAGTGTAAGGAGGTAGGACATTGAGAGATGATGAGGTCATGGGGTACAGCCCTTATGAATGAGATGAGAGCCTTCATAAGAAAGTCCATATAGAGCTCCTTCTCCCCTTCTGCCATGTTAAGATTTTGGACTTCTCAACCTCTGGGAACTGATTTCTGTTTTATGGTATTCTTCTTAACAGCCCAAACATACTAAGGTACTTTCCAAATTCTTTCTTTGCCTCATGGTTGCAAAATAGATACTACAGCTCTGGATATCATGTCTGTATTAAAGGCAGAGAGAAAGGAGCCAGGGGGTGGAATTAGCCATGTCCATCTCTTTAAAAAGAAAAGCAGAATAAGTTTCCTTGAGCTCTCATTGGTCAGAAGCGGGTTATGCAGCCATGGCTGTTGGAGGAAAATTTGGGAAAGTGAGGAGGAGGACTGTCATGACTCATTATCTGGTGCCAGGCATGCAGCCAGGGTGCAAAAAAGGAAAAAAGGAGAATGGATGTCATGCCGGCAACCAGTGTGGCTTGCCTGAACTTACTTTTAAGAATCACATCTCCATGTAAAATATTTTAGATTGGAATTCATTTCTGATATCATCTTTAGAGCAAACAGGCTTTTCCCACTGGCTCTCTTATGTAAACAGAATTGCTGCTACAGCTACGTTATCAACATCCCGCTGAGCAACCCTGTGGTTTGACCTTGGCTTGCCACCTTGGAGGCAATTGCTAATACTGCATATTTACCAGCTGTTGCCTTCCAAACGTTAGCATATCTGGGAAGAATAGAGCAGGTGGGCCTCAGCTTTCAGGGGGGAGTTGAAGGTATGAGGAGCAGCGACCTCCTTTAACAAAGAACATCCTTCCAGTGGCAGAGACACGTGTGTTTGTAAGAAGGCCTCAGAGAGCCCAGGGACAAGTGCTGGTTGCCCAGGGTAACCGAGGTGAACTTTATTCCTGATTGGATGGCTTCAGGAGGAGGTGGTGGCAGCCGGCTGCTGGGCTTTTAGGCAGATTTTTTTTTTTTAATTATGCAAAGAAACAAAAACCAAAGGGTGAGGATGCAGAGCCTGTGCTCTGGGGCTTTCTGTTTTCTCTGTTAATTATTAGTTAAGGAGGACTTTTTGCACGTCAGGCTAGTGGAGAAGAGACCTATTACAGGGTGGACGTTGACCCCAATATTTCTAGCACTAAAAATGTCTTTTTTTCAGTCCAAGGTAGTTAGTAGCTGTTTATAGGGTAGAGTGTTTGGTAAGTTGGTACCACATTGTTCTCATTAAACAAAACCTAAGGTTACTTTAAAATAATAAATATGCATATGTATTTATATTAAAACAGAAAAAAAGAACCGTTGACCAGCTCATAGCATTTCCCAGCATCTGAGGCTGGAGGGCTGCTGTCCCCCAGGTACTGCGCCACCTAGTGTCCACTGCGCATATAGCAGGGTCCACGGGAACCAGCTTTCTTCTGGGTGATGGGTGGCAGCGCAGCTCTTTCTTCTCGATAGAAAAGGTGCAGAAGCTGATTTGCAGCTCGGCCTGGATTCGGAATTCTGAATTTTGTTTTTTGAATTTCCTCCTTCTCCTCCTCCTCGACGCAGCCTTCGATTTGCTCCTTCTCATCATTGATCGGAAGAGGCTGAGCCCCTCTCCCAAGTTACTTTATAGGAAAGCTGGCAATTGTAGGACCCTGAAGCACCGCTCCCCGCTCCCAGGAGAGCCAGTGGGGGATGGAGCTGAGGAAGATGCACATAAAGTGGGGGCCACCGGGCTAGAGCAAGCTGCGAAACCGAGAGCCGAGGCGCTGTTTGTCAGCCTCCAGGCATGGTTGTGTGATGATGCTTCCCGGCCCCTTCCTCCCATTCCCAGTCTACATATAAGTGTGTGTGTGTGTGTGTGTGTGTGTGTGTGTGTGTGTGCGCGCGCGCGCATTTATAAAATATTTATTTATAAAATAGAATGATAACCCCAAATCTGCAGGGGCACAAGGGGTGGGGAGAAGATAGATTTCTCTGTCAGGGCCACCTTGTGGATCGGCTAAGAGCAGACCCCGCTCTGGCCCATCCCCCACTCTGCCCTTTCCTAAGAGACTGGAATCCAGAGGGCCCAGTGAGGTGGAGCCAAATCCTTCCAGTCTACCTCCTGGAACAGTTGAATTCCCTGCCCAAATGGCCCCACGCTTACTTCTAGGTCACAGGCAGTCATCATCACTGGGCTCTTCTTCCTGAGGTGCCCAGGCTGCCAAGTTTCAATGTGAAACTCCAACGAGTCAAGGATTCTAAATTGAGAATTGACCTTCCCCATCAATATGAAATCTATGCAGGATGGAGTATACTCTACTTAAGAATTTGTTTGCTTGGTTTATTACTTTTAAATACACCTATACTAGGATGTGGGCCTCTGTCTGTAACATTGTTCTATGAATTAATGTTAATTTTTAAAGTATAAAATGTTATTATTACATTTTTTAAAAAGTTTATCTTTTAGGGATACATATTAAAGCATTCACAGATGAAATGAACTTGTATCAAAAAAACTGGGGTAGAAATGGGAGGGATTATATGGACAAAACAAGATTAGCTACAAATTGAAATGATTGAATAAGGTTACAGGGACTATCATTGTGCTTTTGAATATGTTTGAAATCTTCCAGAATAAAAAGCCTCAAAAAGATCTATCTTTTAAAAAAAAATCTTCATTTTAAAAAATGGATTATTTTTTTAAAGAGCAGTTTGAGGTTCATAGCAAAACTGAGAGGAAAGCATTGAGATTTCCCATATACCCCTTCCCCTGCATGCCTACCCTCCCCACCATCAACATTTCCCACCAGAGGGGTGCATTTGTTTTAAGTCCATAGTTTACATCAAGGTTCACTTTTGATGTTGAACATTATTTGGGTTTAAACAAATCTACAATGATGTGTATTCTACAAATTTTGATAAGTTATATTTTCATGTAGCTCAAAATATATTTTAATTTCTCTAGAGATTTCTTCTTTGACCTATAGGTTACTTAGAGGTGTTTTGTTTAATCTCCCAATATTTTGTAATCTTTCAGCTGTCTTTCTGGTATTGATTTTCAGTTTAATTTCATTGTGGTCTGAAAGCACACATTGCATGATTTCTATCCTTTTAAATTTATGAAGGTGTATTTTTATGGCCCAGAATATGATCTATCTTGGTGAATGTTCCAAGTAAACGTGAGACAAATGTGTATTTTGCTGTTGTTGGATGAAGTAATTTATAGACGTCCATTATATCATCCACTATATCTGGGTGACAGATGGTGGTGTTCAGTTCAACTTTGTGCTTATTGATTTTATGCCTCCTGGATCTGTCCATTTCCGAAGGAGGGGTGTTGAAGTCTCCAACTATAATAGTAAGTTCGTGTATTTTTCCTTGCAGTTACATTGGGTTTTGTCTTATGTACTTTGATACTTAGTTGTTAGATGCCAACATATTAGGATGGCTATATCTTCTTGGAAAACCAACCCCTCTATCATTATGTAACGTCCTGCTCTATCCCTGATAACTTTCTTTGCTCTGAAGTTGGCTCTGTCTGGAAGCTACTCCAGCATTCTTTTAAATGATATGAAGGTGGTATATCTTTCCCTATCTATTTACTTTCAATCATATGTCTACAAAGTGGGATTCTTACAGATAACTTATAGCTAGGTCTAGTTTTTCGAGCCACTCTGACAATCTTTGTATTTTAATTGGTAAACTTAGACTATTGACATTCAAAGTGATTACAGATATGATTGGATTAATAGCTACCATATTTGTTACTGTTTTCTTTTTGTTGTCTTTGTTCCTATTCTTTTTCTTCCACTTTTTTTCTGCCTTTGGAATTTCTTTAAGAATATATTTTTAGTTCAAGATGGACACAATTCCTTTATTTTACACATTTATTTTTATGTGGTACTGAGGATCAAACCCAGTACCTCACATGTGCTAGGCAAGCGCTTTACCACTGAGCCAACATCCCAGCCCCTGCCTTTGGGATTTTAATGGTACATTTTATATGATTCCATTTCTCCCCTCTTTTAGCATATCAGTTGTGTCCCCCCCCCCCACTTTTTTTAGTAGTTGCTCTAGAACTTGCAGTATGCATTTACAACTACTCCACATCCACTTTCAAATAACTCTATACTCTTTGAGTTGTGTGAGTACCTTATAACAACAGAATAATCCTGATTCCTCTCTCTGTCCTTTATATGGTTACTGGCATTTCACTTACACATGAGTGTGTATGTATGTGTGTGCATCAACGTTTACATCTATATCTGCATAGCATACATAATTGAGTACATTGTTGGTCTTGTTTTGAATACACTATTAATGTTAGATCAAGTAAGAATACAAAATAAGTTATTTTGATCTCACTTATTTCTCCTCTGATGTTCTTACTTTCTTTTTTATATTTATTTTAATTATCTGTACCTCAATTTTTCATTCATTCTTTTTTAGGTATACATGACAGTAGAGTGTATTTTGACATATTATACATACATGGAATATAACTTATTCTAATTAGGATCCCATTCTTGTGGTTGTACATGGTGTGGAGTTTCACTGGTTGTGTATTCATATATGAACATAGGAGAGTTATGTCCAGATCATTCTGTTGTCTTTCCTATTCCCATCCCCCTCCCTTCACTTCATTCCCCTTTGTCTAATACAAAGTACTTCTATTTCCCCGCCCCACCCCTATTGTGGGTTAGCATTCACATATCAGAGAGAACATTCAGCCTCTCTTTTCTTAGGATTGGCTTATTTCACTTAGCATGCGAGTCTCCAGATCCATCCATTTACTAGCAAATATCATAATTTCATCCTTTTTTATATAGATTTAATTTCTGAACTATGTCATTTTCCTTTTCTCTGAAAAGCTGCTTCTTCTTCTATTTTTTTAAGAGGTACATTTATTTGTTTTAGGGTAGCAATTTTTTTAAATAGTTATTGCAGCACCAGTTTTGTTTTTTTTTTTTTTTTTGTGAACACAATCCCTTTATTTTATTTATTTATTTTTGTGTGGTGCTAAGGATCAAACCCAGGGCCTCAGTCGTGCTAGGCAAGCGCTCTACTGCTGAACCACAACCTCAGCCCTGAAAAGCTTCTTTTAACATTGTTTTTTGCGAGGCACATCTACTGGTGACAAATCCCCTCAATTTTTGTCTGATAAAGTCTTTATTTCCACTTCTCTATTGAAGGATGACTTCTCGGGGCATGGCATTCCTTTTTGGTGGTCTCTTTGAATTTCCACATCTCTGCCTTCACTGCCCATCTGTTGGTTGTTTTTAATCCCACCACTCTTGCCATATCTGGGTCTTGTCATGATGCTTGTTCTGTTGTTTTCTAACTATGCTTTTGTGGGTGTGGTTTGTTTTTACATTGGTTTGTTTGTTTGCTTGCTTTTTCTTTTTGTTTTCATCTTTCAGGTGTTTTATAATGTTTTATTGATGGACAGATGTGACATACTGGGTACAAAGAACTGCTGCAATGGGCCCTTGCTGATGTGGTGGTGAGGTGCGATGGGAGGGTAAGTATTAACAGGATTGTGATTAGGTTTCAGTCTGTTTGAAAGCCCAGCATCCTGGGCTGGGAACTTCACAAGTGCTTCTCAGTGTTTTCCCACTCAGGTGGGACAGGATGACTCAGTGGACCAGAGTCAGGTTATTTCCCCTCCTCTGGGGGAGGCTGGCTTCTGATAAAACCCCAGCAGGTGAGGCTCAAGGTAACTCATTTCTCCTGAAGGCAGACCTGGCTGGTTAAGGAAACAGAAGACTGGTGTACTTCAAAATGGTTTCTTTTCCCTCCTTCTGCAGAAACACAAGCATAGGGAGTTTTTCTCTGCTATTCACTATGAGGACCTCATTGAACTCCTGGAAATAAGATTCACAAAAGTGTGGGGGAATCCTGCAAGACTGGTACCCTGACACTCTTCTCTTGGACTTGTCCACACTGAGCCTCCAGTGATTTGTCCATGAGCTGCTGCAGCAAAGAGACCCCACAATACAGTGGCTCAAACAAGACAGGATTTTGCTTGTTGCTCATGTGACAATCCAGAGATGAACAGGAACCCAGGGTCCTTTTCTTCTGTTGTGCTGTGGCCTCCGGGTTGTGGTCCTTCTCTGGTTGTGCCATCATGATCAGGCTCCTGTCCACGGGGAGGAAGGAGAGGACAAGAGGTGTCCATTGAGAGCAAAACAAAGTATGGAAGCTGCGCCATCTCTTCCGCTTTATCCCACAGGTAAGCACTTAGCACAAAGTCATACAAACTGCAAGGGAGTCTAGACTTGGGTCTAGCAGGAACTTGGTGGAGGGAGGTCCCACTAAAAGGGATAAGAGGAGATAAGATAAGAGGACAGATCCTGTGTAATAATTTGCAGCCTCTGGCTCATTGGTCCCCCTGGCCACTCAGGTCTCCAGACACACCTTTCTTCTCACACAAGAGATCACATTCTCACTGTCCACAGGGTACAGTCAGGTGCTACATCCAGCCCAATGACCAGCATTTCTGAATGGTGTTTGTCTTCCCCATGCAGCCCAAGTGAAGCTCCCCACTGTCCGGTGTTGTCTAGTTATCTACTCTGCCTCATTCACCCCTAACTCAACTTATTTTTCAGTGGTAGGATAGGTGCTAGACAGGATTGTCCAGAGGCGGGCCAGATTCAGGGCAGTTCTGCTGCACAAAGTAATCAGGAACACTAGGTCTGTACCCTTATTGCCCTTCTGATCCCCAAGGATTGAGTTGGGATCATTCCATCTTTTCTGCATTCCTGACTGTGTGAAGACAGAGTAAGAAGGAATAAAGAGGCTGCCTACTTATGATTCCACATAAATGGAGGCTAAGGCAGGAGGATCACAAGTTTGAGGCCAGCCTGGGAAACTCAGCAAGATCCTGTTCTGTCTCAAAATAAAAAATAAAAAGGTCTAGGGATATCTCAGTGGTAGAGGGCCCCTGGGTTCAGTCCCCAGTACAGAAAAAATAAAAGAAGAAGGAGTAGGAGAAGAAGAAATAATGAAAGCTAATTAAGGAATTCTCTTATGAAAACAATTGGTTACTCTCTTATCCAGAAATTTAGTTATCAGTTCCAAAAATCAGGTAGCTCATCAACTCAGATCAGGTAAGAACATTGATTAGAGTCCTGTCTTTCTTCAAGGTGACCATTCTAAACAAGAGCCCCAGCTCCACTGGGACTGGCAGGTAGCTGTTATAATAGACAACCTGCCACCTATTAGACATCCTCCTCACACTAAGGGATTTACATGCATTCTCATTTACTCTTCACAAAATCTATGGGGCAGGTATTAAGATGGCTCTTTTCTATATTAGGAGACTCTGCCCAAGACTGTGATTTAGAGAACGTTCTTGCCAGTCTGCTAATCCCAGGTGTCCCCAGCACAGGTGTCCAACAGAGTCTCTTAAGAGGAGGTGAAGAGCTGGCCAATTATGGAATCATAGGAACACCCAGGAGTGTGCTAAGTCACTTGATGAACAGGGAGTCTGCTGGAGGATCAGTGTGTCTTTGGAAATCATTGGGGAGCATGCATCTCAAGGGAGACGATGACTCTCTGGAATGGAGCAAGACGACATCAGACCTTTCTTTGCATTGATTTTCATCTTATCCTCTAAGCATTACTTTGGGTATTTGTTTTATTACATGCACTCTATAATTGTCCCAATAGTGAGTATACATTAAATATATACACTAAATACATAAACAGATATAAATGTACTTTAAGTTTATGAATTAATTATAAACAGATATATACATAAAGTACGGATTTCTGGGCATTCACATAATGGAATGCATGATCCAAAAATCTGGGGAGTCAATTTCTGTTCTAGGTTGCTGCTTCCCTGCCCCCCAGGTCCAGGCAGAGGGAGGAGTAGAGACCTGTGGACTTTCTCTGGCAACATCATTTTGCACCCAGGCCAGGGTGTGTGATTCTGCTTGACACCCCATGGCAGGTGGGAAGGCACACTGGCTCGACCCGTCACGGCAGAATGAGCTTCCTCACAGCCAATTATAAATCCACGCAGAGCTCAGAGAAGGTGTGAGCCTTTCCCAAGGTTCCCCCAGGGCCCCTTTTCCAGTGTGCAAAATATGCCTCCCCAGGGACCTTTCTCTCCCCTCCCCTTCTCTCTCTGAAGTTTCCAGCCCCACCCTTTAGTTAAGTCAGCAAGTCTCTTTTGCTGGATATTAAATTCTTTCAGTTAGAGGGCCATCAAGAGCAGCAACCCACTTTCTTGTCTGCTCAGACTGCCACATTTTACCACAGTTAAATGCTACAGACTGGGTGGCTTACCAACAGACGTTTATTTCTCACACTTGTGGAGGTTGGATGTTCAAGATCAAGGTGCCTGCCAATTCAGTTCCCAGTGAGGACCTTCTCCCTAGCTTTCAAACAAACAGCTTCCCTCTGGTACACACACACACAGAGATCTTTCTTCTTACAAGACCACCAGTACTATTGGATTAGAAGCCCACCTATATGACCTCATTTGACTTCACCTCCTAAAAGCCCTATCTGCAAACACACTAACATCCCAATATATATTCCACTCTTTTAAATATAAATCAGAACGTGAATAACCCAGGGAATTGAATTGAAGAGAGCACCCTATTCAGCCATTTTGAATTGGAAGGAGTGCTATCTTCAGCCCCTGCACCCTCATAGCCCCTCAGTCACTGTGTTTGTGAAGAGTGATGATGAGCCACTGCTGCCTCATTAGGGATTGTGTGTTATCCCCACATTTATGTGCTGAAGTCCTAACCCAGTGCCTTGGAATGTGACTATTTGTAGAGAGAAAGGGTCATTACAGAGGTAGCCAAGTTAAAATGAGGCCCGAGGGCAGTATGCAATATGACTGGTGTCAGCAGAGGATGTCCAAGTCCCTGTCTTCCGCTCAGAAGGGCTTGCAGATGTCCTGGGCAATGAAATACCTTGGGTGCTGGGTCAGGGAGGCTGTGCTCTCAGTTCTGGTCTTGACTCTCCAGGATGAATGCTTTCCACCATTCCTGCATGATTTCCAGCAGTTGTTTCTCTCTCTCCTTCCTCCAGGCCCAACCTCACTTTCTCCTAATGGAAAAGGGCAGAGCCCTTCTTTGCTACCACATACCTTGTTGAAGAAAAACTGATTTCCTCCAGGACACAATAGATGGTATCTCCTGAATCCAGGATCAGGACATTAGTGTTCCTGATCTGCAAAGATATTTATGCAAAGACACACAAAAGCTTAAGAATTAAATTATATTGGGTTATTTACGTTATGATTTATATTAAAAAGAGTGGAATATATAAAACCAGGACTGCCCCAAATAACAGGATAGTCTTTGAAGTCTGTCCTCCACAGACTTGGACAATCTCTCTGTATTGCTCCAGGGACATCCTCTTTCTGGGAGTAGAATCAACAAGTGTGTCACACAGAACTTTCCAGATTCAGTATTCTCAGCTCTGCTAATTCCCTTATTTCTAAATTCTGTGACCTTCATCTTCTGTACTCTGAATCATCTCTTTTTCTTTCTCTACAACTGTTTCAAAATGGAATTCCACAGTCTCTGACAACAATTAGGGGGTGATCATGTTTGGAAATGATTTGGGAGAATAAATATTTGTCCCACCTTAATGAGGCAGCAGGAAGAGATGCATGGCCCAGGTGGGAACCCTCCTCTTTATCTACTGTGAGGCCTTGAACACTTACTGGTCCTCTTTGAACCTCAGCTGCTCATATAGAGACCATAGTAGTTTTGGTCTGTCATATAGAGACCACAGTAGTGTCTGCCCATGGGGCTGAAATGATTAAATGAGTTAATTCTCAAGCAGATATTTAATAAAGATTACTTGGTGACCTAAGTATTGGGAGTTTGAATAAGTACATATCTCGTGCTATCTTTTCCTTCTATTCAATCGCAAATTTAAACACTTCAAAGATAATGCCCAAAACACTATTCTCTCTGGATATTTCAGTGTGGGTCCAATCAGGAGACAGGAATCATATAATAATTTGAACAAGGGAAAGTAAGTATAAAAAATTATTAAGCACTAATAAGAGAGTAATTATAAAGATGGAAAGAGTCCTCTAACGGATACCCCAGAGCTAAGGTACAGTATCCAAGGAAGGACAAACTTGGAAAGGGGGTTACCTCTCACTGCACTTGTAAGTTGCTAGATGGCAGAGACACCTACTGGGTACCTTTGGCTAGAACTGGTTCATGTCATTGAGCAGCAGAAAAAGCCCTCCAGGATACAGAAAAGCAGGGCCTTATGGTGAATGCAAAAAGAGGTCAGGGTACTGCTGCTGGCCTGAGGTCTGGAGCACAGCAAGTGTTGCATTGGGGTAACTGCAGCAAGCTGGTCATGGAGCAGACCCAAGGAACTGAAGCCACTTGGGTGCTAGGGCAGAGTACCACTGGATATCCCCCACTTCATCCCCAGTCATGTGCAAGCACCACTGAGTAGCAATGCCACAGGAGCAAAAAAGAGCAAAACCCAGCACAATGGAATAAGGGCCCCCGAAAGGCCACCTCTTGTAGGGCCCTCTCACGCCCTCTACTGACTTAACAATGCATTCACTGTGCAGGAGCAATGCTCGGAGAAACCATTCCGTTACCACAGAGCAAATTCTGAAGGGCAACTTTGGAGCAGACAGACAATAAATAGATCATGGAAGTCCTGGACAAAAAAAAATTGTGATGTTTATCTACAAGATAGAATAATATGAAGTAATTAAATATTATGTTTTAGGAAACTCCTAATTTGCATTTCCTTGATAATTAGTGTTGTTGAACACCTTCTCAGTGGTCATTTGTGTGCCCTCTTTGGAGAAATTTTTATTCAAGTCATTTGCCCATTGTAATGGTTAATTTGAATCGCTAACCTGATTGATTAAGAGATGTCAAAGATTAAGAGGCTTCTGGGTGTGTCAATGAGGGTATGTCTAGGAATGATTGGCATGTGGGATAGTGAACTGAAGTAGAGACCCTCTCCAAGCATGGGTAGCACCATCCAATAGATTGGAGGCTTGGATAGAATACAAGTTGGAAGAACAAGGAAGCAGCAGTAGGTGCAAGATCAATTCTTCTTGAACAGGTTCTTGGTTGCTGTTGTGATTGCCTGAAAATATCAGACTCTCATTCCTTCACTTTTCCAAAGCAGACTCTGCTAGTGATTCTCCAGGGAGTTTCCAGAAGCCTTCCGTCTCAGACTGGGGTAGCACCCTGGATCCTTCTTGTTCTGAGGCTTCAGTCTCTTGAACTATGCAGGTACTGGTTCCTCCAGCTCTCCAGCTTGCAGACAGCCATTGTGGACTATCTAGCTTCTGGTCCTGTAAGCCATATAATAAATCCCCTTTTTATAATCATACTTCCTATTGATTATATTTTTCTAGAGAACCCTAATACACTCATCTTAAAATTGAGTTATTTATTTTTTATTGAATTGAAGGAGTTTCTTATATATTCTGTATATCAACTCCTTATGAGATAAGTGGTTTGTGAATATGTTCTCTCATTCCATAGGTTCATTTTCATTGTTATTTTCTTTGCTGTGCAAAAGATTTATAGTTCAATACAGTCCCACTGGTCTAGTTTAGCTTTTGTTGTCTGTGTTAGTCAGCTTTTCATGACTGTGACCAAAATACCTGACAAGAACAATTTAGAGAAGGAAAAGTTTATTTTGGCTCACAATCTCAGAGTTTCCATGGCTGGCCAACTCCATTGCTCTGGGCCTGAGACAAGGCAAAACATCATAGCAGATGGGTGTGGTGAGGAAAGCTGCTCAGCTCCTAGCAGCCAGGAAGGAGGGACAAGAGGAGGGTTTCAGGAGAAGATAGAGTCCAAGATCACGCCCCCATTGACCTACTTCCTCCAGCCACACCCCACCTGCCTACAGTTACCACCCGGTAGTCCATTCAAACTATTAATCCATCAAATGGATCAATCCACTAATGAGGTTATAGATTCCATAATCCAGCCTTTTCACCTCTAAAAATTGCTACAATATCTAACCCATGAGCTCTTTGGGGGACATTTTTAGATCCAAATATAATAGCTGTCCATACTTAAAAATTGTCATATTTAATTGTCAAGACAAAAGTCAAGAGTCTTTCCCCCTAGATTTTCTTTTCGGAGTTTTATAGTTTCAGGTCTTATGTTTAAATCATCAACCCAATGTTGATTTATATTATTATGAGTCCAGCTTAATTTCTTTGCATGTGGATATCCAGTTTTCGCAAGATTGGTTGTTAAAGAGACTGTCCTTTCCCTATTGTGTTTTCTAGCACCATGTCCAAGATCAGTTGACCAACAGATATGGGTTCATTTCAGGGCTCTCTACTCTGTTCCATTGGTTTCTGTGTCTGTTTTTATCCTGGTACCATGTTGTTTTGATGACTGTAGGTTTGTCATGTATTTTGAAATCAGGAAGTGTGATGCCACCATCTTCATTCTTCTTTCAAGATTGCTTTGGCTATTCTGGGTCATTTTTGGGCTTCATATGAATTTTATGATTTTTTTTCCTGTTTCTCTAAAAAGTGCCATTGGGGTTTTTATGGGGATTGCATTGCATCTGTAGATTGCTTTCAGTGTTGTGGACATTTTAGTGATATTAAGTCTTACACATTTTATTCTTTTTGATGCTATTATGAATGTTTTTTTCATAATTAGACAGTTTTTTTTCCTTTTTGGACAGTTTATTATTAGTTTATAGATACATAAACTTTTGTATGTTGATCTTATATTCTGAAAATTAACTGATTTTTAAAAATCCATTCTAGCAGGGTTTTGGTGCAGTTTTTATGTTTTTTTAAATTAATTGTATCTGCAAACAAATACAATTCTAATACTGAAGGGAAAGTGAGGAATGAAGGACAGAGACCAGGCAGAGATACACCTGAGAATTTATTTGTCAGAGCTGACAAATAAAGGCCATCTATAGTAGAGAAAGGGGCAAAACAGGCTTGGGTTCCTGGACTTTTATAGGGCAGGCTCAGGAATCAGAGCTGGGCGGGTCTTAATTGGGTGGTTAGGGGTTAGGTTGGCATGAGGGAATGGTGAGCCTTTCTCAGAAAGGCCCTTGGGCAGGAGAGTGAAACTTTCTCCTTAAAAAGGCAGCTGTCCCTTAAGATGGCTGTCCAGATGCTAAGCAAGGGCCTTATAAATACTTTCATTATAATTTGGATGACTTGATTCCTTTTTCTTTACCAATGTCTCTGCTTAGGATTTCCAATACTATGTTTGAATGTGAGATATATTTTTTATACACACTTTAACAAGTGTGGGTGAGGACGTGGATAAATTGGAAACCTGTACACTCTCAGTGGAATTGTAAAATGGTGCAGCCCCTATGGAAAACAGTTTGGAGGTTACTGAAAAAATTAAAAATAAAACTGCCATATGATCCAGCAATTCCACTCCTGGATATATATATCCAAAGAAAATAAAATCACTATCTTGAAAGATATGTCTGCAACATGGGTTGAACATAGGTTCATTTCAGCATTATTTATAATAACCAAAATACAGAATCGACCCAAATGTGCATCAAAAGATGAAAGGATAAAGAAAATGCATATTTACATACAATGGAATATTATCTTAAAAAGGAAGGCAATCCAACTATTTTTGATGACTTGGATGAACCTAAAGGACATTTTGCTAGGTGAAATCAGCTAGTCAAGGACAAATACTGTATTATTCCACTTATGTGAAGTATCTAAATAAATGCATAGAAGCAGAAAATAGAATGGTGATTGCCAGGGGCTGAGAGGAGGGAGAAAATGGGTGATTGCTTAATTGGCATAAAGTTTCAGTTATGCAGAAGAAAAATTTTCTAGAATCTGCTATGCAATATGTGCAAATGGTTGGCGATATGGTAGTAATGTGTAGTAAAAGTTTTGTTCTGGGAGCAGATCTCACATTAAGTGTTCTTTTGACAAAAAATAAAATAAAAGCAAATTTTTAAAAATGAACCCATAAAGGGGCAAAAGGAAACATTGGAGAAGATGGACTCATCTGCCACCTTAATTGTGACGTCACACCTAGTTGATGATGTCACAGGAGTATGTGTATATCCAAACTCATCAGATTCTGCCCATCAAACACAAGCATGGGTTAAAAATCAATTATACTTCCACAAAGCTGTTTTTAAAAAAGAAGTTAGTTTAATGGTTTAAACAAATCTTCATTAACTATTAGGTGAGAAAAACAATTTACAAAAGGAATTAGTACAGTATAATCCTCGTTTTATAAAAAGAACAAAAGCAGGTTTGGGAGGCTGAGGCAGGAGGATGGTTGAGTTCATAAGCCAGCCTTACCAAAAGTGAGGTGCTAAGAAACTCTGTGAAACCCTGTCTCTAAGTAAAATACAAAATAGGGCTGGGCATATGGCTTGGTAGCAGAGTTGAGTTCAACAGTTCAATCCCTGGTACTCCTCCTACAAAAACAAAGTCTTATATTAAAAAAAAAAAAAAAAAAAAAAGCCCTTTCCCACTGCCTGTCACTGCCCCTTTCTCATTTCTTCCCTTATCGGGTGACAGTGAAACACTTTCCCTCTCCTTCTTGCTCTCAAAGTTCCCCTAGTGACATTGGATTGGCTTCTCTTCAGGCCTGGGAAAACTGGAAAGAGCCCTATGCTGGTGTAAGGGGGTGGCGAGAACCGTGATTCCCTGAACACTGGGATCAGCACCCATTCGTGTTGGTGTGAAGAGACACAGTCCCTGGTCACTGATGCCGGGTAAACACTCTTCACTGTCCCTTGCTGCTGGACTTGCACCGTGCACCCATATACGGTCTGCAGCATCTCCCTGTTTTTAACTGAACTTTGTTTTGTAGATCATAGTTCAGAAAATGCTGGTA